CTGTTGAGGCGCCACTTTATATATTAAATAGTGCAGTCCACGCACACACAAAGATGGGAGGTAAGAAAGGACAACGTCAAGATGGGAGACACGACTCCCCACCTCCTTCTCCTCCACCGGGCGCAGACCCTCATCCTCCACCTCCAGTGACGGACATTGCCACAATTCTGAGGTGGATGGACGACCGGGACGAGCGACGTAGAGAAATGGAATTTCAGAGGGAAGAGATACGAAGAGAGGAGAAAAAGTTGCGTTTTGAGGCACTATTGGCGACCCTGGCGCTAACCCACCCTCCCTCACTCGCAGGTAGCGCGCTTCAAGGCACCAGTACACTCCCTCCTCCACCACACCAGCGTCCTCCAGCTCCCAAGGCATCTGTTCAACCCCCACCCGCCTCTCACCAGACGTCACGTTTCAGCTTTTTCGTGAGTGGAGGCGGCGTTGGACAGATTACTCCACGATGGTGGACCTTGACAGCATGCCTCCAAACAAACAGCTCATCCAACTGCGGATGTGTTTGTCGCTGGAGACCCAGAGAGTTTTGGAGCACACGTTGCACGTGCCTCCCGACTCTACCTCTTCAGTGACGGATGTGCTCGACCTTTTACAGGAGCATGTTAAGGGTCGGAACAACGAGGCTTTGCGTCGCCGTGCCTTTACCAGCTGCAAGCAGGCGGAGAACGAATCCTTTGACGACTTTTTTGTACGTTTGAAGAGTTTGTCTGAGGAGATCGACGTCTGCAAGGCGCACAGCCGGGAATGTGAGGAAGCCTGGATCAAGCACGGGATCTTGACAGGTGTCAGGCACGAAGAGTTGATGCAGCGACTCATCCCCCTGGACGCTTCCTCCACACTCCAGGTGGTAGTGACTGAATGTCGGTCATACGAGGCCACCAAGTCCGCCACCTCTGCCTTATGGGCCCCACCTGCTGTGAGAGCAATCTCACAATACAAGAAGGATAAGAAGGCGGCCAACAACGCGAAGGCTGCCACACGTTCTTCCACGCCTCCGCCTAGTGCTTCCTGTGGCAGCTGTGGAAAGCAGCACAGCCCCAAGACTTGCCCGGCCGCCGACGCACTGTGTCGTGGATGTGACCGTGAGGGCCACTGGTCTAACACAGACAGGTGCCCTGCACAAGGCCACAAGTGTCAGGCCTGCGGTCGCTATGGACACTACGACAAGTGCTGCCGCCAACCCAATCCCAAAAGCCCGAGACGAGGAGGAAAGCAGCGCACTTCCCTCGGGGTGGTTCGCACACAGCCCCCTCCAGATGGCCCACGCAGCCCCAAGCAGCAGCAGAGTCACATCAGGAGGGTGGAATCGACCACACGCCCCAGGGCTACCCCTTCCCCTACTATCCGCGTCGCCGTCACACACGGTGATGTGTCGGGTCACATCGAGGTGATACCGGACACCGGCGCCGATACTACGGTGATTGGGTTGAAGCACCTCCAGAAACTGGGCCTCACCAAACGCGACCTGGGACCACCGCCGCAGCTGCAGTACTACAATGCAGACGGTTCCCAGATGCCGGACGCTGTGGGCTCCTTTCAGGCAGAGATCACCTACGGCGACAGGTCGTGTTACGGATGGATCGACGTGCGGCCTACTCTCGCTACACCCTTGTTGTCGTGGGAGCACTGCAAGGAGTTAGGCGTGGTGCCCAGAGACTTTCCTGAGCAGATCCCAGCTGCTCGGTACACCGCCAGCAGGGTGCGTGAGTTAACGAGCGACGCGCCTGGCACTGCCAAACAGAGCTGCCCAGAACCCGCGTCCACTCCCACCCACACAGGACGCTCCCCTGCCCAGATCCTGTATGGTCACCCTCTCCGCTCTTGCGTTCCTACACACGCCAAGGCCTTTGTGAAGGACTGGCAGACCAAAGCCGAGAGCTGCTACCGCCGCACCGCTACACGTGCCCAGGACGCCAAGGCTCGGTATGACGACCGTGCCCGCCCTCTTCAGCCGCTGGAGATTGGTGCCCTTGTCCGCGTCCAGGACCCGACGACGAAACGTCGGCACAAGGTGGGCATAGTGATGGGCGTCGGCCGGTCGCGGGACTACAAGGTCAGGATGCCGAGTGGCCGTGTCTGGTGGAGGAACCGCCGCTTCCTCCGGCCAGTCCCACCCCCTGCTGCTGGCCCCCTGACCGAAGACAAGTCACCTACACCTCACGAGGATCCGCCCCACAGTGCACCTCGACGCTCGGAGCGACTTAGGACTAAGAAGTCCGCTCAAGACAAAGACTATGAGCGTGAGGGGGGAGGGAGATGTAGGTTATGTATCTAAGCTACTGTGCCGAGTAGCAACCCTGTACATAAGCTACTGTGCCGAGTAGCATTTATATATATAATCACGTGGCAACACTGCACGTGTTATGTGGCAACATTGCCCTGAGGCTGCCATATGGCAAGGCAGCCTCAGTCTGACTGTGTGAGCCGCGCATGGCACACAGCGTCACCACTTGTATTTCTCTCATCCACAATAAACGGACTCAGTGTTACTCAGTGTTTCCCTAGCCATCACTGCATTCTTCAGGGGACACTAGTAACCTTCAAGGTTAGCCCTCATTACGATCATGACACCAGAACCAAATCAAACATACCCAACCTCTGTGACAGCCACTCTCAATAAAATCGACCTAACTCAAGAGTGAAACCAACCAACCTATATCTCATTCTCATCTCCGTTCATAATTTGACAAAAAAGCTCAAATCTGTCTCCTGCTATTACTAAAAACTCTCCTACGATACGCTCATCCTTCCTTACTACGAATACTTTGACATTTCAAGCTCAAAGATTCAAAACCCTTCCTCCAACTCTCTCCGTTCCTCTTTGACATAGCTCAAGAACTTTACCTTCATCTTTCTCCAAACAACCCTACGACTAGCTACATTTTCATATTCACCTTTCCTGTTACTTTGACCGTGTGTGCCTGTGCGTCCGTCCACCTGCGCTTCTCGGCTTGGGGGCGGTTCTTCTTCCGCTTAGCCAACACTGCCTGAGCCAAGACGATAACCAGAGCACCCGCGTTGGCCCTTTGCCTGCCCGGTCCTGCTCCCCCCCATCCCTCTGCCTCGTCCTGATTGTGATTGTTACACCATCCGGGCACATTGCCTACCCCCTCACGCAAGCGGTGTTTAGCCACTGCACCTATTCTCTCCTTCTAAAATTCACTTCTATCCTCCCTTTATCCTTCCCCTGAACCTCTTTCCCCCCTGTCACTAGCTTTTATGTACGTATGTATGGCGCTTGTGGTAGAAGCGGTACCGCTCTTGCCTCGCAAGCAAGATGTCACGGGTTCGATTCCCGGGCAGGCGGAAAATGTTTGGACACTCTTCCTAGCCCCCTTGGTCCCTGTTCACCTAGCAGTAAAGTAGGTACCTGTTGTAAATCGAAAGGTTGCGAATTCGTATTCAGGGAAAGTTGTTGGAGCTTCTAAACTTGGAACTAACACAATCCGGAGGAGTGGTGACCCGAGGATCGCACACCCAATACAGACAAAACCAAATACGTGCGCTCTGCGCTAACCAAATAAACGCAGTCGTGTAAAGCCACAGCACTATCTCTCCCACTACAATTCCCTTCCTAACCTCCTGCTCCTTCCTCTGTCATCGTCCCCGCTCTGCCTTTCGCTACCAACACATTTTTGGAGCTTCTAAACTTGGAATGGAACGTGGAAATTCACTCTACTCTACTCTCCAGAACCAGCAAGACCTTCCAACAAGCTCCCCACCAACTAGCTCCTCACCAACAAGCTCCTCAACAAGCTCCTCACCCAACAGGACCTCTCAGCAAACTCCTCTCCACACAGCAACTCCCTAGCACTGCACTGTACTGTACATACAATATATATACAGAAAACGCATTGTGAGTTTCTATTCTTACCTCCATCCTAAGTGTGAGATCTCTTACATGTACGTATGTATGTGAGCCCATACAAAGAGAAATAGACAAACAAAGAGAACTTGACAACTGGCCACATACAGTACGCTACAATGTAATGCAGAATACCAGGTGTTGATTTTCAATTGATTATAATTATCAGTTACAGTATTTTCGTGTAATTCCTTATATATATTTTTGTACAGTTTAGAATTGTATTGATTATAATAATAAATAATTGTAATTGGATATAATTTTCTCATTGCTCGAAATTTAAAGATTCAGACATGAATCTGGTAAACTGTTTTTTCACGCGTGGCATCACTGACAACGACCCGCCGTCCAGGAAGGGTGGGGCTGACTTTACACCATCCACCTTGAGTGTATCATGAATTTTTGTCTAGGACTGCACATACGCTCGTCAGGATTTGGGAACATTCACGAATCTTATGGAAGCTTCTAGAACCTTTGGTGAGACTTGCAGTTGTCTGAGCTAGCAAAGTGGATAAGCTTGTAGCAGAGGTGTGTGTGTGCAGATGCACATGTTTAAATTGAAATAGGTCTAACGCATAATTCAATTTCACCTCCCACACAGAATAAACATTGGTCTTCATTTTTTCTTATTTTATACTTTTATAGTCTTATATTTTCTTTATTAGTAAATCACATCAGAGTAATGAAGTTATTTTTCCACAACTTTGATAATTTCTTTACATGCAGCAATGGCAACATGCATTGTCATCTCACAGGACACAGCCGACTGGTGATTTGTGTTCAGGGCCGGATTCAGGAGTGGGCAATTGCCCAAGGGCCTCCACAATCTGGGGGCCTCCACATATTACAATATTTTATTTATTTGTTTATTCATTTGGATTATTTTTATTTTAATTCTTTAAAATTAATGTTTATCCATCCCATCACGTAAAACTATGTTCAGCAAGAAGCGTGATAGAAATTAGGCTAACTACTCCTTCAAATTCATGAATACCTGGTTTTCCAATGAACCGACTTGAAACCACATGAATGACTCCAATCATGTCTCACTTTTGTGTGTGTGTGTGTGTGTGTGTGTGTTGGGAATTTGTACACTATCAATAAATATACAGTAAATTGAAAATTTCTCAATGTTCTAATTTCCTCAATATAACTGCATATGGCTTCAAAATTCTCCAAAGAAGTGTTCAAATTTCAAAATTTTCCCGGTGGGATTACAGCGCCCCCCGAAACTCCCAGAGGTTTAGGCTCGCTTCAGTTGCCACCCCACCCTCTTGGGTAGTTATAATGAGGGGAGCCTCCACAAAGAGGCTGCATGGGCCTCCACAGGTCTAAATCCGGCACTGCATGTGTTATGTTTTGAGTTGTGCACTTTGGTTTGATTGGCTGAAATCAAAACAAACAACCATGTTGATGCTTTCTTAACGGATTCCATTAGTTTTCTTTGTTTATTTTTTATTACTTTTTGAACCTAGGACTCATTCTCCTATCTCGGATATTATAAAAATTAACAAACTATTTACCTTAACTCTCACAAGAGACTCATATAGATGCTGTATGCTGTTTTTGTCTTGTGTTACCAAATTACAGTATATTTTATATAACAATAAAATCCGGTATTGTGACATTTTATTTGGAATAAAATCACTGATCTTTTTCATATACTGTACTGTATATCTAACAAATTTCGGTATTGGACAAAATTTTCAAATTTGTTTTATACCGAAAACCTCCCTATACCGAATTGGCTGTTCACTAATTATTTCGGTATAGAGAAGTAATAATGTACAGTCATGATTACATTTCTTTCAATACTTTGATTACAATTTTGATTATTTTCATGGATTACAATTATATTCATGCGTACATATGTTAGAGTAAAAGTTACACTTGATTGCACTGATTCTATACATAAAAATTAAAGTGTTCAAAATTAACCATTTTACAAAATGAATGATCTTGACATAATAACCTGACTCCATCAGCAATGACTGCTTCCCCAGCTTCCTGAACACATCACTGACTGCTCCTGCCCAGATATTACGCGATCAAAGTTCCTGCACCCCCTTCTCTCACTAGTCAGGAGAGTCGTATGCTAATTTTGATCACATTAATGTATTCTTTAGGTCATTGGCTTAAAACTCAATAGTGTGTATTATTTTGTCAATATCAATATTGTATAGTAGACCCTTGTTATTTCACAGTTCAATACTTCACTCTCATTATTTTGTGGTACCCCAAATTATTCCCACTTTTCTTTATTGTGCGATTGAACCCCTTTATTACATTGTGTATACTCAGAGAAGTGAAATATTTACAAATGGACCACCACGTTCATCAACTGATGCCAAGCAATCGGCTGAAAACAAGCAAAAGTTTCCCGTTATCTTACAATAGTTGTTCACTCGAAGCTTGCAACTGAGGCCGAGGGTCAGTTTATAGCAAGGGGCTCCAATCCACTCCCCCCAAAATATCCTACTCATATTTATTGACTGTTACAGTAGCTATATCGTGATTAGATATTTCATGGTGCTGTAATTCTCGGTCCCAGTCTTTGCAATACAATAAAGGTCTACTGTATAATGGATAAAAACTACCACACTGAACATTAAACTGTAGGTAATGACAACTGTTTACTTCTGTAATAGTCTAATCAATGCACAGTGATTGAAGTAAATCATTGGGGGTGAATCTGCATCCAAGAGTCCTGCTTTACATACTGAATGACAATATGGAGTAAATAACTTGAATATACTGTATAATTATACTTAATATTGTGGTTGTAACCTTATATTATCTGTAGCTGTTGGTACTGAAGATTAAGTCTCTGCCTCACAAAGTTGTAGAAATCATATTCAAGTGAGAGGTTTTTCCTCAGAGTGGCCTCCACCTCGGGAGATGTAGTAGGGCGCTGGAGATTCTTGTTGTGGTGAGGAGCTGTGGAGGTGAAAACTACCGTATTTACAATCAATTCTCTTTAGTTAATCCACGTGAAAACATTTGACAATAGCTTTTAAAACACAATCCCTTACTTGCAAGAAAATTATTTAAATAATTATTGTTGCTGACTGCAATTTACTATTTTGTGTGTCTGCTTTTGATACTCTGATAAATATTAGAAAATAAAAACATTTTCAGGAGAAAATTAATTCCACTTTATTTTACATTGGAGACAAGGATGAATCTCCTATGCATAGTCAAAATGAGGTTATTTTAAGCATGTATCATAAACATAAAAGAATTAGCAGCAGTTCTATTCTTTTTGTTGGCAAACCCAAATTTCAAAAAATGACGTTTCTGTTTGCCATGGACAACAGAGCGGCAGTGTTTTATCTCAATCATCAAGGCTCAACCAGATCTTGGCCCCTTCTCACTGTCAAAAAAAAAAATTATACATATACATATATATATATATATATATATATATATATATATATATATATATATATATATATACATATATATATATATATATATATATATATATATATATATATACACATAAATATATACATATATCTTGATAAATCACACGGGAAAAGGGAAACAACGGAGCACCTTAGCTTTCGGCTTTATCCACGTTTTCATTGTGGATCTACGTGAAATATACATTTATCTATATATATATATATGTATATATATATATATATATATATATATATATATATATATATATATATATATATATATATATATATATATATATATATATATATATATATATATATATATATATATATGCAAATCACTTGGTTGCATTTATAAAGTTCCTTGCAAGGAATGTAATATGTTTTACTTAGGCCAGACAGGTAAAGATCTTGCAACTAGAATTAAACAACACAAATACAGTGTTAGGACAGGCCAGGAATCCAATGCTCTGTTTGTTCATTTGAGGGATAACAAGCATTGCATTGACTGGGATAATGCCTCCTCAATATTACCATGTAAGTCAATTGACAGTAGGAACATCATAGAATCTAGTCTTATTAAACATACCGAAGCATTCAACATGAATTTGAGTAACGGCATGTACAAGCTGGACAATTTTGTAATTAAGAAGATTTGTGATCAGGTGAGAAGGCCGGGTCACTTGACCATCTGACCTGACCACCAACCGTTGTGTGCTATTTAAAGATTAGTAGGGTCATTACCTAATACCTGACCATTGTGGACCTGGTCTCACCCTCCTCTGTATATATACACCTTGATTTGTATTACTCTCTCTAGTCTGTACTCACCCCTGAAGATGTGAATTACACGAAAGCGCTTGGGAACTTCGTGTTTTCTTCTTTCCTTGTGGTTATCAGCATATATATATATATATATATATATATATATATATATATATATATATATATATATATATATATATATATATATATATATATATATATATATATGTATATATATTTCATGTAAATCCACAATGAAAACGTGGATAAGATAAATTTTGATAAAATCACACGGGAAAATGGAAACAACGGAGCACCTTGCCTCTGAAGTTGCCTCTGAAGATGTCTTGAATAAAGACGAAAGCTAAGGTGCTCCGTTGTTTCGATTTTCCCGTGTGATTTTATATATATATATATATATATATATATATATATATATATATATATATATATATATATATATATATATATATATATATATATATATATATATATATATATATATATATATATATATATATATATATATATATATATATATATATATATATATATATATATATATATATATATACATATCTATATAATATATATATATATATATATATATATATATATATATATATATATATATATATATATATATATATATATATATATATATATATATATATAAAAGTTTGTGTAACACAAACACTTTACCTCAAAGTAACTCACATACCGGGAATACAAAACAATTGGGCAGATGCGTTGTCCTGTCTCAGGCCAATATCGACGGAAACAGAATGGTCCCTAAAGATATCGAAGTTCAAGAGTCTAGTGAGGAGGTTTGGGACTCCACAAATAGATCTCTTTGCCTCACAAACAATTACAAGATGCCACCTTATGCATCTCTGGAAAGATCGAATCTTTTAGGGAATGCTCTACTCATAGATTGGAACCGTTGGAATTCAATCTATCTGTTCCCACCTATGAAAATGTTGCCCAAAGTAATTCAAAAACTCAGATCCTTCAGCGAAAGGTCCTCTTAATTGCACCATATTGGATCCTGCGACCCTGGTGTCTGGAACTGCTGGAATGGTGCCTGCATCCACTACAATTGCAACGAGGATGTCCAGACCAGGTACTGCACCCTCAGTTTGAGATAACCTTGGCACTTTATGCTTGGAGTTTCTCAAAAGATGTTTAAATAGATTGTTGGGTAATTCCAATATCGTTAACCAAGTGATAGCTGGTCATAGGCCCCAAACTTCTATGCAATATGAGAAAGCTTGGAAACTTTTACAACAATTTATCAGGTTAACGACTCCAATCACATTGTCGGAAACAGTGGTGTTAGAATTTTTAGATTTTCTGTTCAGAGTTAAAGGCCTTCAAGGATCTACAATTGCATCTTATAAATCAGCATTGGTTGACCCTCTGGCGTGGGGTTTTAATATTACTTTGAACCCAAGAATTTATCCAATGCTCAGATCGTCCTTTTTCATCCAGAGACCCCCTCGGCCTAAGAGAATCCCACCTTGGTCTCAAGATAGCATTACTAAATTTCTTATGGGGCCTAATTGCAATATAAATCTGAACTGGGACAGATTGCTCCAGAAGGCAGCCTTCCTTCTTGCAATAGCAACAAGTATGAGAATCAGTGACCTGATTTCAATTTCAAATAACCCATCATTATTGGTATTTTCTGAGGAAGATGTCACCCTTTTTCCAACGGAGATTCTAAGAAAAAATTAAAGGGAGGATTTTCAAGCTCAACCTATCAGGATAAAACGGCTGATGGATGAGACAAGGGTTCCTCATATATTATGCCCAGTTAAGAATCTACAAGAATGGTTAACCAGATTCCCTAATCGAGGCCCCTATGTATTCTCATCACATGATGGTAAGAAATTGTCTCCTAGTCAAATGACAAATTATTTATCTCAGTTAGTGAATCAAGCAGACCCTGGCAAAATTTTTTGGCATATGACACCAGGAAATATGCAGGGTCTGTGGTTTTTCTGCGGCATATGAGCCTTAGTCAGATCAAAGAAGTGGGCTTTTGGAAATCTTCAAAAACCTTTCAAAACAGCTATCTTCATCTATCTCTGAAAGATGATTCACTTGTGGTGGTACTGGGGTCCCCTCCCCCACCTAGTTAATCTCCACAGCCAGGACCTTCTTCCTATCAGAATAAAGTGAGTCTCCTAATTGGGATATGTAAATTAACATTTTACCTTCCGGTAAAAGTTCCTAATTTTGGAAAATATTCTATAAAAGATTATAATTATAATCTGGACCTAAGCTAACAGAGCCTTATACGCAATGTCACCTCCCTTTCCTCCTTCTGCTCTGGTAAAAAAAGCTAGACGTCGCATTCTGGTTTGAACAAAAAGTCGTTTTCTAATATACTATAGCGCTAGGCGTGTGTGTGTGTCTGCTCTGGGCAGCCGAAACTGCACAATCGTTTTTCATCAAACTTGGTGGAAAAATCGCAAAAAAATTGTACAGTGGAACAAACCTGGTCCCATATCGATGGTTTCTTTAGGAAGCCATTACATAACCATTTTATTTACGCTGAAAAACGATGCAAGTCTACGGACTTGGCGCACCCAGCCCACGATTGCAGTTATCGTACAGCTCCCTCCTCCTCCCCACACTTTTTTTCTTAGCCTACTTTTTTTTTATGTTGTTTGGATTAGTAAAGGAAGGAAAATGAGTAAATAGAAGAATAAATAAAGAAGGGGAAACAGAAAATAGTGCGAGATAACAGGTGGGGGAAACTGAGTTTCATCATGCGTCTGGATGTGCAGTTACCAGACGACCTTACAGCTACAGTGTATACTTATTCCTGTGGCTCATGGAAAAGAAGAAGAGATAAAAAGATAATAACAGGAATACATGGAGAAGATGACTACAATAGACACAGGGTAAATATAGACAGTGAAACAGACAGGAGGTTGACAAAAATAGACAGATTCATACATGCACAAATAGACAATATGGCAACTAACATGACAGACAGACAGCTGACTGACTGGTTCACATTAGTAAAGACGGGCTTACATTCAAAGACACGCAGACGAACAGAGAGTTGGGATGGCAATAGACATGAGAGATAGACTTGAGACAGATTAGAAGGCATTTACAAACAAGAATAACACCAAATTGACCATAGCTGCGTCAGTGAGTGTAGGAGGTCTTACATCCACCAGCGTAAATAATAAGACGCATTGATAACTAACACCCTCGCGAGGAAAGAACAGCGATGGTCGGTCAGTCATGTGAGATGGGCCTAAAACTGACTAACGTAGATGATGACTATGATGACTTAACACAGGTGATGAATTAAGCAGATGGTGACAAATCTAACCAGAATCATGGTCACTTCTCTTCATAATATAATTTATCTCGGAATCATCATCTGTGATTCAAAATAATTTTTTTTATGATTTTAACCTCTCCTTATGGCGAATATTTCTTTAACTAATTATTCTAACTGTTATATATATATATGTTTATATGCTGCCTTTATTGAATATATATATTATATATTATGTTACTTCTTACCAAAGTCAGAAAGTGTTTAGGCTTGTGTAAACACGAAATGTGTTAGGCACGTTGTAACCAAGAACAGAGAATAACGCCCAGCCAGACCGACCATATGCTGGTCATTCTCCCATTAAATAACGCAAGATACTACACTGGTGACGAGGATGGGATTCACAAAGTGTTGGCGAAGTCCTTGACGAGAGGATAGTGACCACTGAAGGGAAGGCTACT